ATACAACAGTGTCATTTGTAGTAGTTTGTAGTTCGAATTAATAGATATATACAAGAATAGGTAAACTTGAGAAATCTGTACGATCACAAGTATTAATGGAAGCATATCAGCCCTTCCTAATACAAGAAACTCGCAGCAGGTACACGTCAAAAGCAAGTTTTTCGAATATTTTAATGCTTGGATTCTTAAAAAAAAATTTACATAATGAGTTAAACCTTCAAAAGAGTCCAATAACTTGATTACTATTTAAATTATCTAAAATTACGGCCTTAAAAGAGCGTAGATCCAAGCAATTTCTGGCTATTTTTTGAAAATCCACCCTGAGGTAAGAATAGCTATACGAATCAACTGGCGTCCATAGTTTTCATGAGTTGGTTGGACAGGTGGAACATCTCGAGCAGCACACTTGTCACTGAAAAATCGTGGTAACTTATTTGCAACTTATTCCAGTCAGAATCAAGTTACAGTAACTTATGTTGATGGAAGTGTGTTTCTCGGGATGTCCTACGAACATAAATTTGTTGGTGTGACAGTAAAACCTTTGTTTCACGTACAATTTTTTAGAAAACTTAATTATTGGTAAGCGTGATTGCCTCTCGTTCAAACAGGCTGGGTTCAATCCGTATCGGCGCCACTGAGATTTTCTGAGGCATCAAATCTCAGAATCAGAAAATGTTTTTGCCATACATCTCCGGAACCAGTTCGCGATTTCAAAAACATTCAAAAGGCTCTATGATACCATAGTAAACTTGTGACACCCAAATCTTTGAAGGTGGGCGTGCCTCTAGTTCCGAGTAGTTCAAGGTAACTTATTGCAGGAACTTCAAAAAGTGCCAAGATTTTTTTTTTCAATATTTCAAAAATTTCTGGATAACTTAAGGGTCTGCAGAAAAGTTTCTTGGATATCAGGAAAAATGTTGGTACGTATGAGAAGTTCCGAGAATTTCTTGAACATTACGATAACTTCATGCAGGAACGAAAACTCCAGGCAAGTCCAGGGCTCAGCTCAAAAAAAATGTATAGATCTTAAAGGATGATTTATGAGCTTAAAAGAAGTATTTGTAAATAGTAAAATTGTGGGAGCTTCAGCATCGACGGAAAATCTTGGAGAAAGTTTAATTAATTTCAAGAAGATGGCGGGAACTTTTAAAAAATTTAAAATTTATATGTATTTTGATAATAACTTTCAGAGGAACACCTTGAGAAAAAAATTCAAAACAGAAACTCACAGCCAGAGCTAGTAAATATCACGGCCGTCATGCAACAATGGGAAAACATTTTCTCTCACTATCACGAGACTTCCTATCATGACCAGCTTTCTTGTTATTTTCCAATGTTCATCCACTCATGAGAGTAATTTCCACACGGTTTTGGCATCTAAATTTTAAGTTAGATGAATGTAGGCAAGCAACAGTATGTATTCTGTTGAGTGAATTTATTCTTAAGCTTGTCGCGGTGCATATAACAATAATATCAATAAATGAGCTAGTAATTGCAATGATCCCAATACTGTCACGTTCTGTCATGACAAAAATATCGATGAGATTTTGAAGAAAATCTATATCATTGTTTTCTCATCCGATGATAGTGACAGAAGTATCTCTGTAAATATCGCGTGAGATCTTTCATTGGAGATGACATTTGCCAGCCCTGTTCTCTAGTGGTTGAGATATCAAATTCTGTGTTTTACTACTAGTTGAAACGGTCACTGAGTCGTCACTGATGACTATACAGGAAGTGTTTTCAACCTGATCCATGTGTAGTGTCAGGTTGATATAATTGTGGAAGTATATAGTATCTAATTTAAAGGTATTTCCTGGGATGATTTCCGTTTTTGATTTAACAGTGTCATCTGTTCTAAATCATTCACATCGATGAATATTAGCGTTTTGCATCCTACGGTTGTCTGATTGTGTATCATGAGGGATTGCTGAAGATCATTGACTTCAGTCAACTTTAATCCCATAGCTTCACCACGTGTTCTAGCTACACGTGGTGAGTTACACAAACAATGTCTTCATCTGGTTCATCAAACGATGCACTACCAGGAACAGCATCGAAAAATTCGTCGTCACTGGATTCAATAACATGAGTCACAGCATGCATCAAACCATGTAGGGGAAATGGGTCTAATGTAGGCCTATGGATCAAAGATTGGGCCCATCGCTAAAAATCTGCTATTTATCAATTTTAACTAGATGAATGCGTCATTGGGACGGTACTAATAGATATTTTTGGTCGCTATTGAAAATTTAGTCGATTTCTGAATTTATGTATGGGCTCAAATTAGGGGCATTTAGGCCGACATTACATCCATTTCTCCTATTCTATAGAAGAGCTGGCGGACATTGGAACTGGTACACATTGATGTCGAGAAAAATCCCAATTGTTTTCAATTTTCATCATGCATTCAATTGAACCGTCAGCAGCATTGTTGTTCATGTCACACTTATCAGACCATCACTCCACGCGGTGATCAAGTGTGCTGTGCGTGCTGCATACATACGTCAACAGTAACACACGGTGGGATTGAATTCTCGGTTACTTTCAATGGGAAAGCTGATACGTCCCTTCGAAAAAGTAATCGAGAATTCGTTTTATGCAACCGTTAATTAACGACCCAACATGATGTGTTTTGAACAAAATTGCAACAAAACTAATCGAGATGGAACACTGGTGTTCAAGAAAGAGTTGTAGAACAGTTTGAGAGGCATCTTTTGAATAGACCAAACAGTACACTTTATTACGTATCTTTTGAAATGATACGGGAAAACACGTAGAAAAACACCAATTTTAGACATGTTTATCTTTGAAATTTAACTAAATGTAACTATCTTGAAGCAGAAAATACACTATTCAGTCGGGAATTTGCTTTACTGTTCAATGGTGGCTATGATGCTGTGCTAAGTTACATATTTTTGGAGTTAGAGCTAATTTATGGCAAGCATAGACATAAAACAGAAAAAAAGTTCAATAGCTTAGTAATCTTTGAGATTGGATCATATGCGTAGAACATTTGTTTTCATCAAACATCTTCTATCACTCCTTAAAATACTAGCACTGAGAAACCGAAAACTCTGTATATTGGGAAGTCTTTCACCTATTCCATTCAGTTCATCTCTCATAGCGTTTTAAGTTAAAAAGCAAGTAATGTTTTGATCTAAATAATAAGTGTTGTAAACCTTTACTTGAATCAAAGAGGGGTAGTTCAGAAACAAGAAATATTTTGCAGATGGAGTTATCGAAAAACTGAAATGTTTCGGTTGTAAAATATCTTTGGGTAATTGTTTGAAAATTTGTAGTAGATTCCGTCTTCAAGATTATCGTTTGCCATCAAATAAAACGCCCTCGAATCATGGAATGCAGAAGATGAGGAACAACCTTCTACCAGTGTTGCTAGATCAAAATAAAATGTTGTGATGTTTCTACGGACAAATACAAATTGGCCGACAAGGAATTTGATCCGATATTTAAGAAAACAAAACCAATTCTTGGAAGTCGAAAATATTCTCTAATTCTAATGATGCACCCAAAATTTTCAATGTATTCAAACAACGAGTGCTCAAATAAAAAAAAATGTTTCTTATCTCACCAATACCAAACTGTCTAGATAGAAACGGGTAAGTCTGAAAGCCACCACATCTGAGAATAAATTGTTTGTTACTTAATAGACAATCATGGAAAAAACATGGTGTTGCAGGACATCGCGACTAACATTTGAAAATGGTCTAGAGCCTAATTATTATTTTTTAAACTCGTAATAACTACAGAACGGCTAGACTAAGTAAAAAGTTGTTGTGTGCCAATTTTATCACAAATTAATTATTATTATGTGCAAATTTAATTCAGAAAATAAACCAAAATCATAAAATTGTACCATTTTTTAAAAGTAAGCTACCAGCTTGCACTTTTCATAAAATTTTATGGCATTACTTCAGCTTTCTTTAAACCAACAAATTAAAAAAGTTGAAGTTTTTGCGTCAATCAACGTTTTAGAAAGAGTTTTTTGAGTATGTTGATTTATTTTCTTTTAATTCTGTTATAACTCCTTGATTGCTTATCTTTTGACAGATGCGCGTATTTCGTCTACTACTTCTAGGCTTCATTAGTGCCAAGTACTCAACACGTCTGAAAAATCTGTATTTTATCTATGACTTATCTACTAATCAATAGATACTAGATATCAGCAGGTATTCAACTACCATGTAAAATTTACCTTACTAGTTTGGTTGCTACCTTTACTTAGTCTCCAACAGGTATAGGCGTGCTACGATGTGAGGTTTTAGGTAGAATGCTGAATAGTCTCGAGTTTCATTCGAATGCGCAAGTTGTTTACCAACAGAAATGATATAAACCATATGTTTGGTTCAGCAAGTTTTGGAAATGCCACAAAATAAAATATATTTTTTCGGTAATTTTCTCACTGTGCATTGGTAGCAGCGAACATATTATTAATGTTTCATCCAAATTGGAAGGGGCCGAGTGACTTATTATTTTTTTTTTAAGCGTTTTGGGCTGGAAATACTATACATCAACCACATCCATGTGTACCTTTTTCTTGATCGTCTCTTTACCTGTTAAAAGATTATAACTTGTAACCTCGAGTACACCACGTCAGCCCCTCTTCTTAGTATTGAGGAACATTGTAAAAAGTATAATGAATCACGGCTACGCGAATCATCCGCATTTGAACTACATTGACGATTAACGAGAGACGAAGCAAAAGTCATGTGAACAAAAAAATAATTATCAAGTCACATGAACCACAGCTCAACGTATCTCTTTAAAATTGCTATCTACTCATTAAGGTAAATCCAATTACATTTAAAAATAAGTTGCAGATTGCTTCATCTGAGTATGAAATTACAACTGAAACAATGTTAAATCTCGTTGCCATCAATTGCTGCAACCGTTGTTGCATAAAACCATCACAAGACACATCCCACCTTATCTCGCACCCCACAATATCATTACCACTATCAGACGTACTTCCTACTTACCGAGCGCGGATCGGTGAATGGCTTATCAATGGGTGCCTGACGTAGGAAGACGTTACCACGTGATACGCGCCAGAGCATTCGCTCGAAGCCAATGATGCGCTCACGTGGGATCACTCCTGCAACGAATCCCAGTGGCTTGTTCTCACTGCTGGGATCTCCTCCGGTGGCCTCCAGGTTCAGCGCTGCTGATTTGTCGGAGAAAAATCCCTGCAGGGGAAGAACATTTTTTCCTAAATATCATCCAACAAAATTATAAAAAAGTAATCCCCCGAAAGTCATACTTGAGTTTTCTCCAGCACACTTCTCAGCTCTGTAAGTTCCATGAAGTTTTGCAGCAGAGCATGGCTATTCTCGGACAGCTCAATGATCTCGTTCTCGGTCTTCTCGAGGGCCGCTTCCAGGTCGATGATTTCGCGGGAGTTGGGCGTACGTGGAATGTTGTCCGACAGATCCGGCGTAGAGACCTCATCCTTGATCAACTCCCGGCAAATGTAGCCAATCTTTCGTTCCATTTCCTCGCATCGGCGGATCTCGCTGGTGTACTTGCGCTGGAAGACATTCACATCGACGTTGAGCTGCAAATAGGACGATATTCACTACTTTTCTACTGGTTCGAAGAAGGATAGTCATGTGACTTCAACACGAACATCACGAAATTGAGCAATTCCGAGTTCACCAAGCTCTGCCAGTGATGAGTACGCTGCCTCCGGCTGGATGAGCAGCTGGACCAGGTCCATCTGTTCGCTTCGGAACATGGCCCCCATGGTTTCGGCCTGATAGTTGTTGTTTTTTTTTATTTCACAAATTTAAAACCAATTGACTTTCTGGAAATCCACGGTTGTTCAGATACTTTCAAGTGTTCACCTACCAGAGCGAGTTACCGGAGCAAACTGAATGGGAGCTTCTCTAGAGGCAATCATCGTCAGCTGTACGGTGATATTTTATCTTTTCGTTTATTTTTTCTTTCAAATGGCACTTGGCCATGATAAATGAGGCTTATCAAGCGGTCATACACGATTCGAACGAGCTATTCTTGAAGCGTCAGTACACGCTTAATAGATGTGCTTGGAATGTTTGTTTTTCTACTGTTAAAATATATGTTATTCATTAGCCAGCTATAATAACGTGAAATCATGTGAAATCAATGTTTGAAGAGCAGTGCTTGAGAGTTTACAACACGATGTTATGTAACAGGTAGCACAGTAATTGATCTCTGAGTTTCAGCACGGTTTCGGTATAAAAAACGCTTACTACTTATAATCTATTGACGTATACACTAACATGACTATCAATAGAATTGAAAAATAACAAGATGTGAATACTATTTGAATTATGTTTTTTTAGCCTTTAACAATACAACGTAGATTACGATTTATCGCCTAGGTGTCTATGCATTTATGTTTAAGGTCTTACATAAATTCATTCAATAAATGGAATGATAGAAAATTCGCTAAAACTTGGGGCACTGAACCATTGAACTCGTATTATTGGAATGATGAAATGCATGCAAAAGTGCTAGTGGTAATTATTACATTTGAAAGTAGTAGCGAGGCTAACTGAAGTAAATCGATGGATGAATTTCTTGATTTTTCTTAGGAGTGATCTACATAGAATTTCTGGACTGTTATAGCTTGAGCTTGAGCTTGAGCTTGATTGACCGCCCACGGTTGCTACTCTGTTACTGCCAGATCAGCTGTAATTACACAGAGAACCAATAGACGATGCTTGGGACTAGCAATCATCCTCAATGTGTAAAAACTGGTGATCTTAAATTAGGCAATACCAGCGCCGGCCGCGCCCGAACACAGGTCAAGAAAGGAATGGGAAGGATTGTGTTGACATGACACTCGCTTTGATGGAAGCCGAGAACACCTCTGCACTTCCACGAGGAATCACAGGGATGTTGGGTAAGAGGGTTGGGTTTGCAGCAGGGTTCGTTTTGGTAAACGATAAGCTGAATTGATGTCCTAACGATCGTATAACGCGAAGGAGCTTTTTGACTAAACCCATGGTCTTCTGCTCAGTAAGCAAAAACGTTTGCCACTAGGCAGACGAGCACCTTTTTAATCACCGAGTTGCTGTTATTACCATGTAGTCATATTAACAAATAAAACGATTGACGAATCTTGAATGTGGATGGGCCTGAGATTAGACTCATGATGTTCTGCTCAGTAAGCAAAGACGGTTGCTCTAAGGCCACCGAGCCCCTCATATCACATAATACCGTTGCTCAGATTTGTGTATCCATTCAACCCCGGAACCAACGACAACAACGAGTTTCGCAAAATACACGATACACAAGCGATTTTACCATAAATCTCTTTGATATGTAAGGACCTGGGACCGCGTTATTCTGCTCAGTAAACAGGCCACTGTAACCGACGATCTTTCAAATCCGAAAACTAAAAACTACGAAAAAGTACTTAGGCCTTCATTAAGTTCCACTTTCACGCGACGTTCAATGACAGGGTCCTATCCAGGATTACATATGAAAAATCCAAATCTGGCCAACGCCCACCTAAACCTGTTCTAATCCACCTGAAATGACTAACGAATGGAAGACTTTGACTACCCAGCCATGCAATAGTCTCATTCCGTGCCTTATGGCAACTTGATGATTCTATTGCGCTCATCTTTTGGCACCACCCAGGGGAGACTTGGTCCTGTACCCATTGCTTAACTTATCTCCATTCCACTCAGCTACTCGCAATTTCTTGTGATATAGTGGGCGGAATATTATTATATGAGACAATTCAATGCAGACGTCTTTCCAAATTTGGCAGATCGACAGGTAATCGGTGAGTTACCACGATAGTTGCTATTCAACAACTCGACAACGTCCCATCGTCAACGCCTGCTATGAGAATTTCCCATTGCAGACGTCAACGAAATGACGTCATCGAGCTATCGATCAACTACTCTGGTTAGCGCCTGGTACCTTATAGCACGATGCTAGGAGGCGAACCGGAAGAATCGATGAGCTACCTCTCCCCCTACATAGAATTTCTGGACTGTTATATAAAAAAAACTATAATGAATTACTTTGGAAGAATTCTGAAAAGAACTCTTTGTAGGCAAATGATTTTCCATCTATCATGTATGATTTTACAAAACTTGTATCCGTGAATTTTTTTTCTATTTAATAAGAATAATCCTAAGAATATTATTAACATGTGGTTTTCAAATATCGTTTAAATAAATCCATGAATTACTCCTGGAAATATCGCACATTTGCTCTGGGGGTCAATCGAGTCAATCTACATAAAAAATATATCTCTTGCATCTTGATAGCTCGCACTTCCTGGAGGTTAAAACGGCTTGGATGTTAATGGGTTAAAAAGTCATGCGAACATTGACGAGAGTAAGCTGTGCGTGTAATCCAATGTAACGATTTTTCCGTACTTTTTTTGTCTTTAATCAGTTGCTGATCTGGTAAAAACCATGCCAAGGATACAATCCTCAGCATGTCCACTAATGTCGTTTTCGTTTTTGCGGTGTAGCTACATCGGTGCTACACTGCCGTACACCGAAATAATATAAGGTGTAGATATAGGATGCACCTTTGTTAACAAACGAATTATGTGGAACTGTCAAGACTCGCGCTTATTCCTGGTTACACTACACATTTTAGTCCTTGTTACCTCTTATGCCTTGTTAATAGTTACAACAAGGCATAAAAAGTAACCCTTGGTAATCAACTCTGTAAACTGTGTTGAATCACAGCATGGCACAGTTTTCGGCACGTTAAGGCACACTTTGACAAGTAGAACACAAATTATAAAATATAAAACGGCATCACTGTTGAATGTTGACGTTTTGCAAATCTCTGCCAAGGTTTACTACTTTGTTTACTCAAAAATGAAGCTAGTGAGAGATTTTGATGTCATTTATAATACTGGAGAAACAACGACCCACCAACAGCCCACCGGTTTTGAGGATCGTTCGACAAATTATGTAAGTCTTCTTCAAATCTCGCAAAATTCGTATTTTCTGCATCACAGTAAAAATCCCAGCGGCTCGTGTTTTCATCTAAAACAGCTATTATTTGGGCCTTACTTCATTCGAGTTCATCCACACTATGGGCAGTCAAGAGCGTCTTGTCGATAAGGCAGTCGGGACGAATGAAACGGATTACCTCTAGTGACAATTTGCTTTCGATTGAAAAATGCCAGACGGTTGCTTTTGATGATAATTTTGGAAGGCCACACGGCGACATGTTTTGCACAAAATGCTATTTTTTAAGGAATCAGTAGGTCAATATATGATTTTATGATCAATAATTATTTGTGACGGAGGCGAAGCAGCGTTCGGCTGAAAATCTCCTTAATAAAGATAACTAGCTAACTAACCATTATTTGTGAAAGCTCCGGTTGAAAACAAACACAATCCGTTACCCCGGCATTTTACCCCAGGGGTACATAATGGGCTGTTCTTCCTTACTATCGTGGGTATACAATCTCGAAGCGTACAACGAAGTATTAGCGCAGAATCTTGTGCGAGAGTTGAGCTACATTATCAATTCTGAGAAGAAGAAGATGAAATAGAACTTATCATAAGGGGGCGACCAGATTCTAATCCTGGTCTTGCCAAGGATCTTCTGGGATGTAAATTTTAAAATTTATCCCCATGGTTTTTCTGGGATATTCTTGCCAGTCATTAATCTCAATTGGAAAGGACTTTACATGAATGACCACATAATTTTGTAACAAGTCTCAGTACTAGTGGGGGATGTCAATACGTATTAATCCCAAATATATGAGCGCTTGATTATGAATCGCCAATGTGTCACGTCTGTGTGGAGCTGAGTGGAAACTTCTCGAGTTCTATACAGACTTACAAGTGGCGGATGGCATACATAATCCATACTGCAGTGCAGAGTCTATCAACCCTTTGTGTTTTTTTTTAAATAACTTAATTAGTCTTTATGAATAGAGTAATTTCAAGCATTCAAGCAGTAATTTGAAAAGTTAAAGTAAAATAAAATTAATATTTGTAAAACCACAGTTAGTTGTTGTGGCTGACTCTTTGTGCAACAATTATTTCATCCAGTAACACAATATTTACTTTGTTAGAATTTGAACCTACCCAATAGTCATATCAACAATAATAACAATGCGATGTAGTCTCAGAGATAACAAAGCATTTTGTCACGGGACTACCATTGAAAGGCAGTATGTATACGACAACACTTGCATACAGGGTTACTTCCATTCATTTTGCATGAATAAATTATTTAGGATATTCTGGAATCCTAAGATGGTTTGTATTTGTAAGTTACAATTAGAGGTTGTAAGGAATGTGTTGTATACATAAAACTTGCCAATTTTACATTCAAAGAGTCACAACCAGTTGTTTTCTGATCGAATAAAAAAGTGATGAGAAAGAATGATAAATACGACTCTCAAACAATGAAATTGGCTGGTTTTACGTGCCAAACACAAACATCACAACTTATTCATATTAGTTGCAAAGTTTTTTTTTATCAATTAATTTATTTGTACAGGCTCAATCGAATAAACTCAAATATTTTTTTTTTTCCTTGATTTGTTATCCGTCGATCTTGTTTTCTGTGCTGAGCACCAATGCTACCGACGCCAGGGAGGCACCTCACACACCTGGACCCTACCTATCGACCCATCAACTCATGAACCGGGGATCAACGGCTTTACTTCCCTTCCGAAGGAAGGCGTGATCAGAGATGTTATGCCTCAGAACATCCCGGCGGCGCCGACTTTGATTGAACCCAGGTCTGCTGGGGTGAGAGGCAATCACGCTTACCACTACACCACCGGCGCCGCTACAGAGCCAAGTTATCGTTTGCTTTATACATAATTGATGTCTTAAATCTAGAGTTAGAGGAATTGAACCGATTACTCGCGGTCGTCTCGAGGTTAGTA